ATGGCGACACCGTTCCGCGCTCGAACATTGTCGTACAATGATCTTTTTTATACCTACTAATCTTGGACAGTAAAAAAACGATTTTTTGCCGGGAATTCCCGAAGTTGAAGTATTTGGGGAAGGGGATGGGGGTTCAAATTAAAATATTTGCATTTATCTGCAATATCTGCATCACAATAAATTGAGGCAAATTCACGTCACTATATGGCAGTAGGTAGGAACTCAAAATAGCATTTTTAAATTCGGAGGTCGGATCCCATGCGGGGCGCAGCGGAGAAGCGACAATACTCTCTTTGCTCAGATAMCCTTCGAATACGTGTTTGATGTGTAATAAGTATGCGACTGGCCTTTGACTGACCTGATATATAATACATGAAATACATTTTCTAACCTTTGTACAGAGTTACRCTAGAATATTCTCGGCATTCCTCTCTCGGGAGTTTCTTGAAAATTCCTACCCCCACACTGCCCACTACATCTATTCTAATGAATAATGATAATTCAGTAAACGTAGTAGGTATTATATAAAGTATAATTTAATATTACTCTATACCCACTAGTAATAAATAACATTCTGTACTATGGTATTTATTAGTTTTTAACGATTGGTATGCACATCACATTTCTATTTGTACTCATTTTTGACAAATTTCAGTGTACAACATAAAAAAATTAAAAAKATAAGATTGTATTGAGGAACTTATATAATAGATCAAATCTTTGGTGTATAAATAATTTTAAAATTTTGAAACTGCGGTTGCCAACAGTAGGTACCTAGTGTTTTAAAAAAAAAAAATAAATATTTTTCACGTAAAAACAATTATGTCGTATTTGTGTAATAAAAAAAAAATATWTTATACTTTTTTTCTGCATCTCAGTAGGTACCACACTATATTATGAGAGGGGTACCTACTATTTATAACAGGTATTAAAATTATTTTATCCCGCGGCTCCTTTGGGTGTTCACAATATTTTGACGGCGCCCAAATTATTTTGAAAAAATTGAAATAACACACGGACACAATATGGCCAATATGGGTGATAATAACAGTGACCTTATTAGTACTAGAAATAAGACTTCAAATGGTAAGGTGTGTTATTTCATTTCCATAATGATTGCAAATAATATTTATTATTGTTATACAAGGCCTAGGTAGGATATTGGTTTCCGGTGCTTTGACGCGGYTTCMTTTGCAAAAACTCTTGCGACGCTTCTGTGAGCCACAACACACAGTTTGAATACCCCTGATTTATATGGTTCTATACTTCAAATCTCAAAAATCGAATCAATTTAATATATTAGATTGGTATCAATGATATTATATGATATGCAATTATAATTGTCCATCGCGTGCTTACGTTGAATATCAAATAAGATATTACAGGTGCACTTGTTTAATTCGAAGTTGAAGGGACTGGRAAAAAGTTCGAGTTATCTAAGAATTCAAGTAATGCAAAGATTTTTTCAATTAAATTTAGCATTGTGTATTAATTTAAACCATATATAACAGAAAGAACTGACAAATGTCAAATAAATTTAAAATATCGACACTACTTAAACGTATGGAAAAAATAATGGATATTGTATGAATAATAAATAATTTTAGAATTAGAAGTATACTTGTGTCGGAAAATTTTTAAAATTAATGTTATGTTATGTTTTTAATGTATGAAATCAATTAAATCCAAAAATATTTTGATTTTCWAACAATTGTATAAATAATGAACTTTTATTCTTAGTAGGTAAAAACAATAATACATGTTTAAAACCGACAAAACCGTATAGGTACTATATTTGTACCTAGCGCAAGTACAATCTAAATTATATCTATAAAAAATAAAAAGTTTAAATTTAGAATGTTGATTATAGATCAATAGTTATTTCATTTGTATGGTCATTCTGTTACACACTTCTGCACCCAGTTACCATATAATTCTACTAGGTACCTATTTAATTATTATTAGAGAACTTGTAATTCCCGGCATGTGTTGTCTCCGTCAAAGTATTTCAAAATTGTAAATTGTTTGTACATTTTAAAATACTTATAACTCATTTCATAATTAGAATATAATAATAAGCCTACGAGGTCGTCTAAATTATACTTTTACCTTTATATTTTAGAAGAGATTAATTCACACTAAAAGAGATCTGCTGAGCATAAAATTTGGTATTTTACGCACTTGCAAGATGGAGACAACACACATAGGCRTGCGCACGGGTGCAGCAAATGCTGCTCTCGCTGCACCTGAAATTTATATTGGATTTAGTGGGCTGGTAAAAAAATACATGGAATGATATTATATAGAACGAATAATTTTAAACATATTATTGAGTTTATAATTT